TAATGGTGTTCATTGTGTTTATATGAATGCTATGACATTATTAATCTGTTTTTTTTGTTGTAATTAAATAACCTATAAAATTTATCATCAAATTAACAATTCACTTACTCTCGTATCCATAAAACTATATAATCTAAAATGACTTGATAATTGAAGTTTTAGACGCATACACACACAGAACATACTTTCATCATCGATTGTAGTGTTTGTTTTCTTATGTATTTCTAATAGACATTTGGCCAATGGGGTTCAACCGGGTCTGTTGTGAGATAGCAACTCACTGAAGACAATGGTAAACGGTGGCAAAATTTCGTGAATTGGTTGAAGCTAGACATTAACACCGTCGGATGTCGGCCAGCTTAGCGGTCTAGAGGTTAAGCGTTCGCGCAAGACTGATAGTCTCTGGGTTCGAATCTCGTAGATGAGCACTGGTGAGGAGTCCCACAATAGAACGAAATGGTCGTCCAGTGAAACTTCCAAATTTTCTACGGTGGTCTTGCTTCAATTGACTCATGATCTCAACCACTGAAATGTATTATCCATTTATAATTGTTTACTGGAGTGAAGTATAATAAATCCTTATGTAGATTTATGTTAGTGATATAGTTTAAAGTACTGATTCTTTCTTCGACAGTTTTTAGATTAAACAAAATGATTAGTTCATCAACACAACAATGCATGGTTTATGTGTAAATCAATGCAAGTGTATTATATAATACAAAGAAAAATAGCTAAAACTAAATCGATTATAGTTGAATTAGGTTTGATAATTGTCTAGTAGTAGAATTCAGGAAGCGTATCTTTTCATTCTATTTAAATCTTATCAGCTTCATGCTAAAGTTGATATATACACTAAAAACTTAAACATATTACTTAACACTTTAAAGACGCAATGTATTATTCACTGAACTATTAAGTCCAAAACTCATATTACTAATGATAGAAAAAGAAGTTTGTATGAGATGAAATTTTATCGATAGTGGAGAAAATTTGTAGATTAAGTGGATGATTTTGATGGAGTTTTGTTTCCTGAACTGGATAGTTTAGTTGTGGAGCTTTCACTTCTACCTGAAGTTTGCACTGATGATTTCGTTGACAATAATTATGAAAGCTCCACGACTAAACCATCCAGCTCAGTGAACAAAACTCCATCAAAATATATGAAATAAAATTTTATCCTTTTCTTGTATTTTGACCAGTTAATGTTACCAGAATACACTAAATATTATTGACGTCATCATCAATAGACTAAATCTTTTTTTCCTTTGGCAATGGATCTGAATCATAAATACCTGATACTCGAAATTCATATTTCCCTATAGACTATAAGTCAATTAATGAGAATAACGCAAATTCAATACTTTTTCTGCTACATATCTGAGTCCAAATCGTCATTTTATCTTTGTCTTTCAGTAACTATCTATTTCTTTTCCTGATTTTTTTTCATAAATTTATATTTTCATGAATTCTTATATTTGATCACCACTAGCCAATTCATTAATTTTCAGAAGGGGGTTTTGTGGAGATTTTAGTAATTTCATAGTTGAACTCATGAGTCAATTGAAGCTAGACCACCATGGAAAACCTTGAAGCACTGGACAGCCGTTTCGTCCTCGTATGGAACTCCTCAACAGTGCGTATCCACGACACCGCTCCATAAGATTTGAACCCAGGACCTATCAGTCTCCTGCACGAACACTTAACCTCTAGACCACTGGGCTGGCCATTCATTTGTAAATAAATATTTTGTAAATTAATATCATTAGGATGAACCGATGATATTAGTAACTATACTTCACTTGTTACATCTTACATGTCATGTAATCTAAATAACAGAGGGCACAACTGTGTATAACAACATTGTATAAATCTGTTATTAGTGGCTTTATTCAATATTATATTTTTGATACAATATAGAATTGTTAGCATAAATGATTTCAACACGTTTCTGTTTGCTTACTTCTTAGTCAATCCTGACGATAACATATTGAGTGATTGCCAGTTAAATGTTAGCAATTCAGTCAATCGACATCTAAATAATGTACATTGTTTTCGCTGTATATTGCCATCAACTAGAAAATCTCTGATTAGATGCTTTTTGTAACTTGTACAACGAAAGGTTGTACACATTTCAGAAAAGCACTTGATAAATAGGTTATGTGATGAATAGATAACTCGTTGAAAGATTTAGATGACAAACGAACATATAGGCCAAATGTTCGATCAGATTTAAAATAACTTATAAAAATTAATTATATTTAGTATCAGAAGGGGGTTTTGTGAAGATTGTAGTAATTTCGGCAGTTGCTCAACATATTCTCACTAGTGACTGGCTTTAAGGTGTACATCCTGGAGTTCTAGTGAGAAGTAGTGACTATTGGAGTTCAACCGGGTCAGTTGTGAGGTAGTAACTCACTGATGACAATGGTGGATGTGTCGCTCAATTTCGGGGATTAGTTGAAGTTAGACATTAACACCGTTTGATGCCGGCCTGCTCAGCGGTCTGGTTGGTCAAGCATCTGACGCGAGTCTGATAGGTCCTGGGTTCAAATCTTGCGCGGCGCTGTCGTGGATACTCATTGCCGAGGAGTCCCAAAATAGGACGAAACGGCCGTCCAGTGTTTCCAGGTTTTCCATTGTGGTCTAACTTCAATTGACTCATGATCTCAACTGTTGTATATATTATATTTATATTTAATTCTATCAAAATTTCCTTTCGTTTTAAAGGTGTTTTTTATTTATATTATCACTATAATATGTAATAACTCATATTGCTCATTTATAACTCAAATTTCATTTACATTTAGTCATATAGTCTTGTGAAATGATCATATCCAAAGAAATCAAATTTGATATAGTAAAGAAGATTTCTATCTTAAAAAATTGACTAATTCTGATGAATGTTTATTATCTGAGGTGAATAGTTTGTTCTTACTTAATTACTTACGCCTGTTACTCCTAATAGAGTATAGGCCGCCGACCAGCATTCTCCAACCCACTCTGTCCTTGGCCTTCTGTTCTAGTTCTAACCAATTCTTGTTCATTTTTCTCATGTCTGTCTCCATTCCTCGGCGTAATGTGTTCTTTGCTCTTCCTCTTTTCCTTTGGCCTTCAGGATTCCATGTGAGGGCTTGTCTTGTGATGCAGTTGGGTGCTTTCCTCAATGTATGTCCTATCCACTTCCAGCGCTTCTTCCTAATTTCTCCCTTCGCTGGCATCTGGTTTGTTCTTTCCCACAGTGGGTTGTTGCTAATAGTGTCCGGCCAAAGGATCCGAATTATTTTGCGTAGACAACTGGTAATAAACACCTGTTTTTTCTGGATGATGGCTTTCGTGGTTCTCCAGGTTTCCGCACCATACAGTATAACAGTGTTGACATTTGTATTGGAAATTCTGACTTTGGTGTTGGCTTGCGGATAGCTGTTTTGAGTTCCAGATGTTCTTCAGTTGTAAATATGCTGCTCTTGTTTTACCGATCCGCGCTTTCACATCCACATCAGATCCACCATGTTCATCAATGATGCTGCTCAGATATGTAAAGGTTTTTACATCTTCCAAATCTTCTCCGTCAATTGTTACTGGATTGGTGCATGCTGTGTTGTATCGGAGAATCTTGCTTTTCCCTTTGTGTATATTGAGACCTACTGCTGCTGAGGCTGATGCTACACCGGTCGTTTTCTCCTGCATTTGTTGTTGCGATTGCGATAGAAGGGCCAGATCATCTGCGAAGTCTAGATCGTCCAGCTGCATCCTAGATGTCCACTGTATCCCGTGCTTTCCTTCAGATGCTGACGTCTCGATCACCAGGAGGAAGAGAAAGGGTGAGAGTAAGCAACCTTGCCAGACACCAGTCTTTATCTCGAACGAGTCTGTCAATTGTCCTCCATGCACAATTTTGCAGATTAACCCATCATAGGAATTCCGTATGATATTGTCTACGTCTACGGAGTCTTTCATTCTGTTTAACAATACCGTATTGAAGACTTTTCCCGGTATTGAGAGAAAAGTGATGCCCCTGTAGTTATCACAGTTGCTGAGATCGCCTTTCTTTGGCATTTTGATCAGAAGTCCTTCTTTCCAGTCTGTTGATACTTGTTCGTCATCCCAAATCTTATTGAAGAGAATGTGGAGTATCCTTGCAGTTGCCGCTACGTCTGCTTTTAGTGCCTCTGCTGGAATGTTGTCTGGTCCGCCTGGAGTCCCTCCGGAGGCTACTGCCGGTTCCAAGCCCGGATAAAGAAGGAGGTTTGGGCATGGGGTTAGCGACCTCATCCCGTAGAAAACTACCTCGCTAAAAAAACGCTAACCAGAATAGTTTATTCGTTGAGTTTTTATTGTTTTTGTTTTTTTTGGACCACATTATCAATGCAAACTTTAGATAAATACAATCTAAGATCACAGTATAAGCTTCATAATATAACCATTAAGCTAAAAGAGAAAGAAACTTTACCAAGATCATGTTTGTAAATTTTAATTTTACAATATATGTTTCTATATTATGAATAAATAAGATTAGTACTGTAAACACAATAGATATAATTCATTTTTGTATCGTTTTTTTTCAATCTCCCCATTGGTATTTAAAACTGTAATTGATCAATTTCTTATTAGCATCTATACATTCTATGCGGATTACCTCGATATTGCTTTAAATCACAAGCATTGTAAACAAAAATAAATAGTGGTTAGAAGTGGAATTCAAGAAGTGCTTTTCGTTCTACTTAGAACACATCATTTGAATGTATCTGCATCTCAGAGTTTATGATCACTCTGGATAGCATGATAACGTTTGAAATGGACAATATTAAGTTTGAATCCTGGTGTGAACATTAATTCAACAAAGCAGCTACATTGAACTGATAAATCCTTAATAGGATGAAACAATTTCACTAATAACCACCATTCATCTTTACTGATAAGAACAGGTATAATTTTCGTATCGATTTATCTATTTATTGTATTTAATGAGATTGTTTCTTTTTTTTATTAAAATATTTTAGGCACTGAAATTCTTATCTAATCAACATTCAATATCAATGATATAATGAATCTAATAGAAATTTAGAGAAAATAAAGTATTGTTCATTTCATCCAAACACAATTATTCATTACATTTAATTATTATTATTAGTAGTAGTACAACTTCAAATCAAACAATGAACCAATAAAAATACATTTTTGATTTATTAGAAAAACAAAAAATAAAATAAAAATCATCCAATTAATGTGTATCTACCAGTATCTACTATACATATATAACTATTTTCAAAGTTCAATATACCCAGTAACTAATGATACCCTATAACTAATACTACATATATATGTACTCGAGTTAAACAATGATTTGTAACTATCATGTTTATTTTGGTCATTTTCATTCTTGTTCATTGAATATGATGATATCAATAATTAGTATTTCATTGGAATCATTAAAATCATGTTAATAACACTTATTACATAATTCATTGAAATCTATGATTACATAATCATTTTCAATTATAATCTTATTGAATGGAATCAATTTATCAACCAGTTCAATGATTTATCAATATTTATTAATGATCATTATTATTATTCTATTTATAATTACAAATAATTGTGGATCAGTTCAAAATAATACAAATAATAATATAACTAGTGTTTACAATACTACTAACATGAATACTACTGTTATGAATAATAATAATAATAATTTAAGTACAGGTGGAATAATTGGAATAATCATTGGTTTGGTTATTATTACTACAATAACTAGTAAGCTAAAAAAAAAGTATTTTATTTGTATCATTGTTTATTTTATGTAAATGTTGTTTCAACAGTTGAGATCATGAGTCAATTGAAGCTAGACCACAATGGAAAACGTGGAAGCACTGGACGGCCGTTTCGTCCTATTGTGGGACTCCTCAGCAGTGCGCATTCACGACCCCGCCTCGTGGGATTCGAACCCAGGACCTATCAGTCTCGCGCCAGATGCTTAACCAACTAGACCACTGAGCTGGCTGGCATCAAACGGTGTTAATGTATAACTTCAACTAATCCACGAAATTGAGAGACACATCCGCCGTCTATTGGTGGTCTAGCTTCAATTGACTCATGATCTCAACTGTTGAAATTACTACAATCTCCACAAAACCCTTTCTGATACTAAATGTTGTTTAATGAATAGTATCACTTCTTAGTACATTTCTTAATACATATCTCAACTCACTTTAAATGATGAATTTTCATTACTCTATCAATTAATTTGCACTTTATGCTTAACTTTACTATTGATCCTATAATACTTGAATAATACTTTGAAGATATTTATGATTAAATATAAGTAACTTATAAATGCGCTATTATTCTTAATAGTTATTTTAGGCATCATCATAGTAAATAGAATGAACTGTTGAGTAGTAAACTTGTCCTATAGTTAGTAGACAGATAGTTCGCTTAAGCCAATATTCAGATCATATTCTGTGTACTGTTTATTTATGTTTAACTTATAAAGGTGTTTCCTTCAGACAACCAGCATAACAGCGATGTTGCCTTTCTACAAGGAGGGGTGAGGTTAGAAAAGGTCGACCCTAAAAATGCACACCCCACCTTATCCCCCGGTGGTAACGTCTGAACAAGTACGAAGTTAACATGAACATTACTCACAAAAAGATCATTTGTAACCGGCCTCAAGCAGTTGTCCAATGGACACCACGGTCACTATGAACACCTCTAACCAAATTTCCTTTTCAGGTACCTCTAGAAAAATCCTTTCACGGTTTGGACAACCAAGAGATGGAAACGACTCTGATACCTCTAACAGCATTCAAGATCACTGTATTCATAACCAATCTCTCTCTTCAAATCTTATTATTCCTCCTACCTCGATTTTCAACTGTAAACTTCCTTTTTTGACTTCCTTCTCAAGTGTCACCATGGTCAACGATTCTAGCGCGCGAAACACTGTCTCAGGTCTACGGAGAACTTGCTCTCAAATAAATATTAGAGCCTTCAACGTACGCACCCTATTGCCAAATTGACAAGCAGGCCTCCTTAGCTAAAAACCTAGAATCTTATATCATTGATGTATGCTGTATCACCAAAGCACGCATACAGGATCCTAGCGCGATAACTCACTTGCCATCACTTCGCCAAAACTGAGAGACGACGAGATACACCCTCTGTTTATCTGGCCACCCGATGACTAGTTCTCATGGACTGGCAGGTGTAGGCATAGCACTCGGTACAAGGGAAGATTAAGCACGATGTGAATGGATCCCTGTTATCAGTCCCCTGTGTTTTGTTCAGCCAAACGACTCAGTACGAACTCGGAAGGACAGAGACACACGTCTTTGCCTTTTCGTCGTTTCTGTCTACGCTCTCAATGATTGTAGCCCGGATGAAGCGAAAGATGACTTTTACAGGGAGCTTTCTGAACTTCTTCAAAAAGTTAAACACTCGGACATAGTACTCGTAACGAGTGACTTCAATGCCCAGGTAGGTAGCTTTAACCAATCAGAAAGACATTCAGGTGGGTATTTTTGTATTTAGGCTCAGAGAAAAGATAATGGTGGTCGCCTGCTGCAACTATGTTCAGACAACCGTCTATTTCTGATGAGCACCAATTTTAAGCATAAGAGGAGAAACATCGTGTAACATCGCGACCCCCTGCACCAAACCAACGATGGGCTCAAATAGACCAGAGTGACATCAGTCATGATTGGAGAGGGCTGATAGAAGACTGTCACTAGTTCTGGAAGACACGTTTGGATTCCGATCATGCTCTACTACGAGCATGCATTTGATTTCGCCTTACTGGACGCAGAAAAACCACACTAATAAGACCCATTAGAACTGAACTGAATGACAAGAAAGCCAAAAGTAGATACTATGAACAACTGAGGCCAGGCTTAGGTAGTTCTAAAATCGAGGATGACCCAGATGTTGCTTGGAAAGATATACGAACAGCTATGGAAACAGCAGTGACATATATTAGTGACTTATACCAAAGGGTTACGAAAAACCAAGTCTATTACACTGATGGATTCTCGTAAACTCATCCCTTCAGTTTCTGAACACGATGAAGAGAGTAAACAAATCAGATATAGGTTAACCACAAGTCTAAGGAACGACCGTGAGCAGTGGTGCGCAACGAAAGCAAAAGAGACGGAGAAGGCGGTGGTTGTAGGTAACACAAGATAACTCTTCAGACTAATAAAAGAAACTGGAACTAAGAAGTCAAGTGTAAATGAGACTATCTTGGAAAAAAGACGAAAATCTTATCTGCTCTTAGGCCAGACGTTTAGAACGATGGGCGGAACACTAAGGAGTAGTTCATCTAATCTAAAACTACTCATGATTCCCAAACAACCTGAGTAGAACATTGAAGTAGGTCCCCCGACTCTAATTGAAGTTTAAAATGCTATAGCTAATTCGAAACGAGGAAGGGCAGCTGTTCGGGTGGATTGGCTCCAGAGGTCTTTAAGGATAGTGGTCCAATTTTAGCGATTAGGTTGACCAATATTTTAGCTAAAATCCGGGGACTGAATGTAATCCCACTGGACTGGTCGCAATCACTGATTGTCCCAATATGTAAGAACGGGTCAGAACCATCCTGTGACAACCATAGAGGGATTAGTTTGACTAATATAGCATCTAAAATGCTAGCCTCAATAATTATTGGACGCCTAAATATGGCTCGTGAACTGCAAACACGAGAAAATCAGGCTGGCTTCAAACCTGGCCGTACCTGCATCAACCACATATTCACCATTCGTCAGATCTTAGAATACAGGCATGCTTATCGGCGTCTAACAATGGTAGTTTTTCTGAACTTAAAAGCAACTCTTAACTCAGTTGACCGAGAGGTTTTTTGGTAGTATCTGTCATTGAAAAGTGTACCTCTGAAGTACATAAACCTTGTAAAGGTTCGTTATTCGACCACTATCAGTCGAGTCAGAGCTTATAGGGAACTGTCATCTGATTTTGCAACCTCAAGTGCTGTCCGTCAAGGTTGTCCACTATCTCCATTTCTGTTTAATTTCATCATAGACATACCACTAGGAATAACTTTCTCATCGACTGGATTTTCAGCAATTAATCTCCTACCAGGAGGTCCACTTACCGACATAGAATACGCAGATGACCTAGTTCTGTTTGGTGAAGACGCTATAGTGAAGAGTCTTTTGCTAGCACCCAGCAACAATACCAGGATGTTTGGAATGCATTTCTCTCTCTCTAAATAAAAATTGTTGCTTCAGGTTTTTGCCAACTCACGTCACCTATCGCGAATTTGAGATATCCGTCTATCAATTTAAGGACCAGTACATTGCACAGCAGTTCGTCCTATTCTACTTTACGGCTGAGAAACGCGGTCATTAAGAGTAGAAGATACTCTTGAGTTACTAGTATGTGATCACAGATGTCTAAAAGATATTACTTGGATTTGATGGTATCACCAGGTCAGTAATAGTCAGGTTAGAGTCAGGGTATTAGGAAATGATGGTAAATCAGTTGATGAGGTTGTAAATCTTCACCGACTGAAACGGTTGGGCCACGTAATACGCACGCACAGCTACCGATTACCACAGCGCGTAATGCTGACTATTGTAGGGGATGGTTGGAAGAAAGTTAGGAGCTGCCAAACTAAAATGTGGCATCAGTACTTGAAGTTACTAAACGGTAAGATTAAAATTACTTTATACCTCTCTTTCTACCAACTAATTCTTTCTTCCTTTATTATATCCCCATATTCAATCTTTCTTTTATATATTACCATCACTGAAGTAACTACTTCTATTAATTTGGTTTTCATCTTGTTGTGCTAATGAGGTGTGGCAACTTGGACCGATACATTTATGTGCTTGGTCTTACGTTGTAGATGACTGACAGACTGTACATCCACGACCCTGAGAGTGATCGAACCAAAAACTCTCGGTCTTACGCACAAATGTTTAATCTCTGTACAACCGAGTCGGTATCCAATCATATAAATTTATAACTTCAGTCACTTAATGATATTCTGCGACTGGCTTCGATTACTTATGGTAGATAACTGTCTCATTCCCATCCAGGTTGAACTCTACTGATTACATATCTTCACTAGAATTCCAAGAATTTCATCTTGAAGTTAGTCACTAATGAACACATTATTATTATTGTCAGTATAAAAAGATTTGTGAAGATTGTAGAATTTTCATACTTGAATAAATCAACTATCCAGTACTTCCAGATTGGTGAAGATGGTCTAGCCGAGATCAGTTCATAATTTAAACTTTGCAAATTCTACAATCTCCACATTCCCCCCTTTTATTGAAGAGCAAAAATTAATTTTCACCGTTAATAACTAATATGTTTTTATCTTAGTGCTCTTTGGTTTCGACATAAATGTCGACCATTTACGTTGGAGAGTTGTCATTATTAATAATAAATGTATTAACAATAACAATGACTATTATAGTAAGGAAAGTAAATGTTCAATAATAAGTGATATAATCTAAATAATAATAATCTTAATAACTCAGATACACAATGAACTTGGATATTTTCACCATAATTATAATAAGTGTTTTTGCTGTATTATACATTCCGTTCATTATTTTTTGGTACTGAGTTACTTTGCTTTTTTTGTTTTTATTCGATTGCCAATTTTCTCTTGTTCTCTTGACTATAAAATGTAAAATGATAAGTCAGTTGATAAGGCAGTGAATGGTAATCAACTTGGATGTTTGGGACGTGTATCGAATATCTCTCAACAACCTTTTACCTCCATAATA